GTCCTGAATAGCCACACCTTGCTCTACAACCATGCTGACTTTGTCAACACTATCCAGCAAGATGAGGACTCCATTGTTCATTCTGGAAGCAGACTTCACACTTTCATAGCTGACGATTCTGTAATCCTCCTAGGAGCAATCCAACCCTGGACAAAGTTTAACTCTGCGTCGGAGTGTGAGCTTCTCCAGCCCCACAATCCAAACTCCCAAGTCGGCATGACCCCGGTGAAAACCGGGTGTCACCACTCAGGAAACCACCCGCCACAAATCACACAAACAGCAAAGCAATGAATAAACAAACAAACAAACAAACAAACAAACAAAAGTCCTCCACTCTCAGGGAGAGTGAGAGAGAAAGAGAAAGACAACAAGACATACAACCAGCTGCTGTGTCTGTACTAAAGGAACTGTTTCTGGTGGGCAATCTGTATGAACCTATAGGTGCTCCCGCAAATGGACACAGGGAAGAGAAAAAGACCAAAAAAGCAACATCCTGCTCTCGGTGCTCATCCTGCTCTCTAAGCGGAGGCATTGTTGGAGGCACGCGGCCTTCAGACTCCTCAACCTGACACACAGATACAGATTTGTGTTGTATAGGAGAGATTCCGTCTGATAAAGGCTCCCATTTCTCCAATGAAGAGTTAGAAGCTGAAAGAATGTTTTGGACGAAACAATCTTTTGGTACTGTTCACCATCCAGCTTCTCAGGGATTATTGGAAGGGGCTGATTAAAGATGGATTGGCTATAGTCTGCGCACAGAGTAATTTTTTTTAATTCATGCTTTTATTCTCGTGACAAGGTCAAGTACAAACAATGAAAATAATGAAAATAAGGATTTTCTTTTTTCATTTTTACAAAAACAACAACCCCTCATTCCTTTCCCTTTCCCAGCCCTCCCCAATCCAACAAGATTATGCTACAGATCAGTAATAACCCACATCCTTCCTTCTTACCGTACAAAGACGTGAATAAAAAGTATATAGACAATGAAAAAAGAGAGAGCAGCAAGTACAACACAAATAAATAAAGAGAAAACACCACAAAACAAAACTGAGTGCACGGTGCGGAGAGAATAAATTAACCTGGATTGATGCAGTTTAATCTGATGCAACAATGAATGAGACTAACAGGAGGAAAAATGCCCTGTCCATTCACTACGGCACCCTCAGGACCTGCTCCTGTGTTGTTACAGCATAAAGATCTATGTGAGGACGTTAAACAACTGCAAGAGACTGCCATGAGCGTCTCTCAACAGGTCACAGAATCACCTGTTCAAGTGGGAAGCTGGCTCAAGGAGTCACTAAGCTCAGTGGGTCAGAGGGGAAAATGCAAAGCAGCAGAGGCCCCGTCCCTCTGTGTGAACGTCTGGTGAACAGGAGAGAGA